GAGAGAGAGAGAGAGAGAGAGAGAGAGAGAGAGAGAGAAGGCTAAATGAACTTAAAGCACTAGGCTGAGAGTTAGCCTTGTTTTAGCTAACAAGAAACTAAACTGCTTATTCAAGTTAACTCCATTAATTTGGTTAGTGGAGGAGTTGCCTAACACCCCTGTTGAGAGAGAGAGAGAGAGAGAGAGAGAGAGAGAGAGAGAGAGAGAGAGAGAGAGAGAGAGAGAGAGTCTTGGGTAAAATTTCCCTAAGTTGAATATTGAGTGTACACATATATTTATACAAGTAGAGGAGGGTGATGTGTGTTCTCACAACCAATGTGGGACTAAAAACCCACTACTAACACTATTATCAACAACACCCCTTAAACTCATATTGGATCAAACAAAATGAGTTTGCGTATAAGAAACTAGAACTAATAAATAGGTAAGGCATTTGTGAAGAAATCTGTAAGCTCGATGGCGGATGTCACATGAGAAAGTAGAATTGTCTTATCCTTGATAACTTGTTTACAGATAAAATGAGCGTCGATCTTAATGTGTTTGGTCATCTCATAAAATACTGGATTATTAGCAATCTAAATGATACTCTTATTATCACAATATAGACGAGTAGGAGTCGAAATAGAAATACCGAAATCACTGAGAAGATGACGAAGATGAATAATCTCTTTACCTACTGTGGACATTGCACGATACTCTACCTCGGTGCTGGAAAGAGCAATAACATATTATTTCTTACTCCGTTCGGAAATTAGGGAATTAGCAAGAAATATACAATAACCTGTGATAAACTTTCTGGTAGTGGAATCACCAACCCAATCAGTATCAGAATATGCACAAAGCTCTAACTTGGATGTAGCAGAAAACAGAAGAGAGCGAGTGCTAGTACCCCGGAGAAACCGAAGAATCCGTAATAAGGCAGCATAGTATACAGAACATGAGGCACTAACAAATTAGCTGACAATGCCAACAGTATAAGAGATATCTAGTCGAGAGATGTACAGATAAACCAACTAACCAACAAGATATCGATATCGGGTAGGATCAGATAGAGGCTCACCATCAGTAGAGCGAAGTTTGATATTCTGTTAGAATAGAGTATCGACAATTGCATTGTCAGTTAGCTCAGCTCAATCTAGAATATCCGAGAGATATTTCTGTTAAGATAGTAGTACACCCCGCGGGCCTTGATAAATTTCTAGACCAAGAAAATACCAAAGAGATCCAAGATCCTTCATGTGGAACTGTTGTTACAAGTGAGATTTTGCATACTATATACCAACCACATCATCACATGTAATGATCATATCATCTACATAGATGAGTAATAAAACTCTACCACACGATGTAGTGTGAACAAATAGAGAAGCATCTTGATAACTTTCCATAAAGCCCGTCTTGAGCACGACATCGCAAAAACACTCAAACCAAGTGCGGGGTGCCTGCTTGAGACCATAAACAACACGACGAAGGAGACATACATGTCCTAGAGGAATATTGGACCTTGTAGGCGGTTGTATATATACTGTCTTAGATAAAGAGCCGTGGAGAAAAGTATTTTTGATATCTATCTGGTATAAAGGTCAACTATGAGCAGCAATGACCACAAGAAGAGTACGAACAGTGGGCATCTGAGTAACAGGAGTAGAGGTCTCCTCATAATCAATACTTTGTTGCTGAGTAAAACCTCGAGCCACTAAACGAGCTTTAAGACATTCAATGGTACCATCAGGATGATACTTGACCTTATGAACCCATTTACTGCCAACTAAAGAGATTCCAGGGTAATATAGAACAACATCCCAGGTATGTGTTTGCTGAAAGCCTGAAATTCTTCAGCCATAGCCTTTCGCCACTCTGAAAATTGAATGACCTCTTAAAACGACTTTGGCTCAACTGTAGTATGAATGACAGTAAGAAAATTATGAAAGATCGATGAATAGAAAGTAACCGAAGCCGTTACTGACTGCGATGTTGAAACGTTTAAGACGTCGAGATGGATTGAAACAGCGATGCCGTTACTTATTGCAAAACGACAATGCCGTTCATTTGAGGCCGAGAGACAGCTTGAAACGGCAATGCTGTTAATTTGAGATCGAGAGATGGTCTTGAAAAAATGGCTATGCCGTAAATTTGAGATCAAGAGATGATCTTGAAACGACAATACCGTTAAAATAGAACCTGAATGTTTAAAATATAACCCCGAAGATTAAAATGGAACGCGAAGGTTAAACGAGAACGCGAAATGCGTTAAGAGGCCGCAAAGCGACAAGGTCAAAAATCTAGCAAAGAAATGCCAAAAAAAACATTAAACGACTGCAAAGCAGCAATGCCAAGATTTGACAAAAAAACACAGAAGCGTTAAATTTTTTTTATTGGAAGGGAAATAATAACCCTAGTTCTGATACCTGTAGGCATTCAAAAATGCCAAAACTCGAAATGTGAAAAGGAGGATTAAGAGAACGAACCCCTTCCCAATCGAAGACGAGGTTCGTTGATTAGTGAAGATCAACCTTGAGAACGAGAGTCGCCACGCAACAGATCTCAACATCAAAAGACAAAGTTCATGAAACTGATCCACGGGATTCGGAGCTCGTCATTGGATACGAGGTTCGAAGTTCACTAATGGATACGAGACTCGGAGCTCGTCATTAGATACGAGGTTCGAGGTTCATTGGTAATACGGGGTTCGAAGCTCGTCATTGGACACGAGGTTCAAAACTCATTACTAGACATGAAACTCATTAGTAAAGATGAGGTTCGTTAAAAGGGAACTTACAAGACTTACTACATAGTTGGACTCAGCTGTTGAAGATGAAGTTCGTTAGTGAAAGCGAGGTTCGTCAGACGAAGTCAGTGAAGACAAAATTCGTCAGGAGAAACTGGTCCACTGCAAGGTTTGCTTGGTAAGACGAACCTCGAGGCTCGTCTTACTTGACGAACTCCGTTTCAATTGAGGTCGAGGTTCGTCATCCACGTGGGATTCACCTGTAACGGCTCTGAAAACTTAGTCAGCCACGTGGGCTAATCTTCAGGAGCACGTTACGGCGTGCGCTGAATTGCATGAGGTAGTTATGCCATCTACCCACGATTGTAGCACGTCAGTTACGTACTTAAACCCTATAAATAGCCATGGATGGCTACAGAGAAGAGGGTTGGTTAATTGAGACTTTTAATCATCAGAAATCAGAGCTTTTGCGTGTAAATCCGGAGTTTGAATTTCAATTCCAGTCGGCTAACGAAGGTCAGAAGCTCTTGTGATCTTGGTCTGATCGTCAACGGGAGGCAAGCTCGACTCAAGCATCGGGAGAAGCATCCTTTCGCCACCTAGAACCCACATTAAACAAAAGAGAAGCTGAATTAATCTTCTCTTCCTCTGTAATCGAGAGAGAGTGTGAGTGATTGTAAGGATTTCGTACCAAGTGATCGAACCCATTTCTTAAAACAAGAGAATTAATCCCAACATTAATTTTTCGACCCTACAATACCATGTTAAAAGTAAGAGAGAGAGAAAGAGTCTTGGGTAAATTTCTCTTAGGTTGAATATTAAGTGTGCACATATATTTATACAAGTAGATGAGGATGAGGTGGGTTCTCACAATCAATGTGGGACTAAAAACCCACTACTAATACTATTATCAGCACTAATACACTATTATCAACAAACCCTGACCATATTTTTATCACCCCCAACCCCACAGGGGGCGTTCTGATTCATTCAGGGGGGCAGCGAAAAAACACATGTTGCCCTCCTTCTTTGGCACATAAATGTCTTAGAACCTCCCGCACATCAATGCCCCCCTCTCGAAGGTTCTGAGAGGATGCAATACTCTACTATCCCTAGAAAACAAATCTCCGGTTTAGGATGAGAGATAGTTCATTATGTGTAAGTGACAATGACTAAATTGAAAAAAAAATTTCTATTAAAATTTTATTAATTTGCCGTTTATGGTCACGTGGTCCGTTGGGAAAATCAGAAAGTAGAGAAATTCTGTGAGACATGCAAAGTTCTAGGGGCTTTGCTGGGAAAGGAAATCGTTCAGAAGGGTTTAGTGGTAAACAACTCAAAATGCAAGGGGTCCGGCGAAAAAAATTCCCCACATTCTACTTCCCACTCAACTCCTGTAGACTTCAGATCTTTCTGGAACCCGTTCGTCCAACTCGCCGGCCACTTCATCTCTCCTACTACTCATCAACCCGATATTCTCACCCTATTTAAACTCCAAAACCAAACACTCTTCCTCAAAATCCTATCGTCCATTTCCAATCCCCAAGAAACAACGGCGCGATCTATATCAAACCTCTACGATCCCTTATTTTCTCTCTCAATTCTTCGCTCTTTTAATTTCGAGGGTTCCAGAAGAAGCCCCACCCTCCTCAGCTCCTTATATCCCCTCTCGATTCATCACGAAATTGCTCAAGGTATTTCTCCAAAACCCTAACCCTAATCCCTCGGATCCCTTCGCGATTTCTCTTAAAAGATCCCGAAATTTTCCAGATCTAGGTTAAGATCAGCGAGATCCGAGGATGAGCGTGGTCGGGTTCGACGTCGGCAACGAGAGCGGCATTGTCGCCGTCGCTCGCCAGCGAGGTATCGACGTCGTGCTCAACGATGAGTCGAAGCGCGAGACGCCGACGATCATCTGCTTCGGCGAGAAGCAGCGGTTCATCGGCACCGCCGGCGCCGCCTCCTCGATGATGAACCCGAAGAACACCATCTCGCAGATCAAGCGCCTCATCGGCCGGAAATTCTCAGATCCTGAGCTTCAGCGTGATATCCAATCGCTGCCTTTTGCTGTTACCGAGGGTCCTGATGGCTTCCCGTTGATCCACGCTCGGTATCTCGGCGAGCAAAGAGCTTTCACGCCTACTCAGGTTCTAGGTATGGTTCTTTCGAACCTGAAGGCGATCGCTGAGACGAACTTGAATGCTGCGGTTGTTGATTGTTGTATTGGGATTCCGGTCTACTTCACGGATTTGCAACGGAGAGCGGTGATGGACGCAGCGAAAATCGCTGGACTGAATCCGTTGCGGTTGTTTCATGAGACCACGGCAACTGCTCTGGCTTATGGGATTTATAAAACTGATCTGCCTGAAAATGATCAGTTGAATGTAGCATTTGTTGATGTTGGGCATGCCAGCATGCAGGTTTGCATTGCTGGTCTTAGGAAGGGGCAGCTGAAGGTTTTGGCTCATTCTTTTGATCGATCACTTGGTGGGCGAGATTTCGATGAGGTTTTGTTTAAGCATTTTGCGGCGAAGTTCAAGGAGGAGTATAAGATTGATGTGTACCAAAATGCGAGGGCTTGTCTTAGGTTGAGGGCTGCTTGTGAGAAGTTGAAGAAGGTGTTGAGTGCGAACCCTGAGGCTCCATTAAATATTGAGTGTTTGATGGAGGAGAAGGATGTTAGGGGGTTTATTAAGAGGGATGAGTTTGAGAATATTAGTGTACCGATACTGGAGAGAGTTAAAGGGCCTTTGGAGAAAGCCCTTGCTGATGCGGGATTGAGTGTTGAGAACATTCACTCTGTTGAGGTTGTTGGGTCGGGGTCTAGAGTCCCGGCTTTAATTAGGATATTGACAGAGTTCTTCGGCAAGGAGCCAAGAAGGACAATGAATGCGAGTGAATGTGTTGCTCGTGGATGTGCACTTCAGTGTGCCATGCTCAGCCCCACATTCAAAGTGCGCGAGTTTCAGGTAGAACTTTTTGCTCAGTTTGTTTCACATTATACTGTCCTGTTATTATTAGGATGTTTGGTTATGTGTAAATAGTACATCTCTTCTTTTGTAATTTGTTTTAGTCGGGTAAAATTGGAACCTTTCATGCAGTTTAATCAGAAGTAAGGCTTTGACATGAATACATTCATTTACTGCCAGTTGCATGAACGTTCACGGGGAGTTGCTAATCAGATGTGTGGGATTACCATTTTGTTAATTGATTAGGAAAATACTTATATATAAACTAGGCATGCCACTTTTTCGTAGAAAAGAAGGATAGTGCTAATATACATGCTTGAACTATCCTGCACGATATAATCTATGTTCATCTTCCTGTCTTCCCTGAAAAAAATAACCTGTCCGCTTGAAGACTACTGCAATCCTGCTCTTCTTGCTAGCCCCCCAAGAAAAACCATCTTATGCACAAACCACCTGCACTTCTATGCTACTAGCCGTTAGCTGGATCTAGAGTGTGAGATGAAGCTGTAATAATTGCATTGTTATAGATGAACTTGTTGCACTTGGCAGAATTGTTCATTTATTTACTCATGCTTTAATATCTCTACAGGTAGTAAATCCACGTTTGCTGTTTTAAGCCTTACTGTTTTTAAGCTATGTATATACTTAACTGAATTTATTGTATGTTGACTTGTTCTTTGTCTATTTTAAAGGTGCATGAGTGTTTCCCCTTTTCGATTGCCCTGTCATGGAAAGGCTCTGTCCCTGAAGCACAGGGTGGAGCGGCGGAAAATCAGAGTACAATTGTATTTCCCAAGGGTAATCCAATTCCAAGCATCAAGGCTCTGACATTCTTCAGATCTAATACATTCTCTGTTGACGTGATGTATGCTGATGCAAATGAGTTACAAGCTTTGCCGAAGATTAGTACCTATACAGTATGTTTTAGATGCTATTCACTTGCTAGATTTTCTCAAATTCTCTGTGTGTTGTTTACATAACTATTGTTTTGTTCATAGATTGGTCCATTTCAATCCACTAAAGGTGAGAGGGCAAAATTGAAAGTCAAGGTCCGCCTGAATCTCCATGGAATCGTTTCTGTTGAGTCAGCAACAGTAAGTATAGGTGATGGATCACGGAATTTGGTATTTAATACTATTTTACATACTGACATGTATCTTTCGTGTGTTAGATGTTAGAGGAGGAAGAGGTTGAAGTAACGGTTACAGCTGCCAAGGAAGCACCTGCCAAGATGGACACAGATGAAGCAAAAGTTGACTCATCTGCTGCTGAAAATGATGTCAATATGCAGGATGCTCCTGGAACTGGGGCTGAGAATGGTGTGCCGGAGACTGAAGACAAGCCTGTGCAGATGGAAACAGATGCTAAGGTGGGCAACATTATCTACAACCTTTTCATGAATGGTCTCTCTTACGATTATCATTGTATCATTCATATTTCATGGAACCGGTCATTACTTTTTTATTTTTACTGTGCTTACTGAATTACACTATTTTATTGCACAGCCACATAAATTAATTGATTTGATAAATAATAAAGTATGGATTAGTGTTCTCAGACTTGTTTGTAGAAGTACATATAAAAGATTGTGAGGTCCTCTATAGCGGAAGCAGTAGACATAAATTTAGACTAGTTTGTACAATTACATATAAAAGCTATTGGGATTCTCCTTATAAGAGAAGTGGTAGACATGATCAGTTAAAGTTTGACCAACATAGTCAGAATAAGATTCCCTTCTTTATTACTGTTTCTTTTATTGGATTTTGGATGTAGATAGTGGAAAGAACTGGTAAATGTTTATAGTTGTTTTGCTTAATTCAGTCTCTGGTTGTAGATATGGACATGGTCTTGCATATTTCAAACTGAGATTAGATACGATAAGTGGAACTCAAATACTGCTACTAGAATTCTGTCATCAAAAAAATCAAGTGATGCAAAGTATAGTGCAATCCAACTTATGGCCGTGACTTGTAGATAATAAAGCTGATCCTGTGGTTTTTAAACATTTTTTGCCTTTATGCAGTTTACATACAGCATTTTTCTAGCCACTGACCAATGCTTGCAAGATTTGTCTGAAAATGTGAACTATTTTAATAAGTGTGATCACTTTACCACGCGGTCCACCTATGTTTTCGAAAAATAATTCTTAAACTTGAAATAACCTGTTTAAATACCTTTAATTCTGGGTAATGCAATTCAAATTGGTTTGGGAGTTACATTTGATTCACGATTCCTGTACTTAAATTTTAATAACTTAAAGCATATGATAAATTATAATAACTTAAACATAAAGTAACAGATCATTCACATCTTTAGAGTTGGCTAATAATGGCTCCTAATGTGGAGTAAGTTACTCGAGTAGCAAGTGGAGTGGTCTGGTTGAACTGTGATCTTTCCTAGGCATCATGGGCATATATTGGTCCTGGTTGTTTATGATAATTTTTCTAGTTAAATTGGGCATGTGACGCTGCATGCTCGCTCTGACGAGCTGCAGTCCTGTCTTTCCTAACGGTATTCCATATTGCCTTGAGGCTTGAGTAAATTAGGAATCTTCCTTAATGAGATAGAGACCTTATCAAACCCTTCATTTTTACCAGTTTTATATTTTTCGCAGGCTTACAACCTTACATTTTATCCATCTTGCTGACCTACAATTAGATTTTACTTAAAACATTTGAAGTCTACTGGGTGCTTCTATGATGATGCAAGGACACCTTTTTCTTTCTCTTGTTTGTTATCTTTCTGCAGTATAAATGTATATTGAAAAGAAAGGTGGTGGGAGGTGGCCACAGTAACTGTCCTGTGATTTGTGACATCTGAGTTCTTGTGATATCTGAATTCCTGATTTTGGATTCATGACTTCCTTCTGAATGTCTTTTTGTGTTTAAATTGATCACTAGTGTTTGGTTGGTCCTCTTACACATCACAATCACCATGAAACTGTCTTTGTGCTGTCTACATTGGTAGCATTAGTATTAAACTAATCTGTAATGCAAGCAAGATATCATAGTTGTCTGGGATTTATTTAATTATTTGCTGTTAGTCACTTCTCAAGAATATTTTAAATGTTTTAAATGCTTCCAGTTAAATTTTGAAAAAAGTAATCTTATGAGTGTGCACATTAAGATATAGTTTTTTTTAATTGAGCGCTTCTGATTTTGTTGCACATGAGGTTTTAATAACTTTATCATTGCCTATTCAGGTCGTGTTGTACTCTAGAACAGAGCTTATAATTTCTTTATTACCATATCATAGAGATAAATAATAATAGTGTACACGGTGTCACTTTTTATGGCTGCAAGGGGTTTCTGATGAACTTGTTCATGCCGCCCTTATTGGCAGAAAAGAACTTGCTTTCCATTATCTATCCATTATAAAGTTTATTTGTTTCGAAGTACATCCTTGGTATTGATATGGCTCCTATTTATCACACAATTTGCATTGGCATATTACTCTGGAGTACAAATTTGCAATTGATGATTGCCACTGTGATCTTCATGAAAGTAATCTATATTCTTGTCATCACAGGCTGAACCTTCAAAAAAGAAGGTAAAGAAGACCAATGTGCCAGTTGTTGAATTAGTTTATGGAGGCCTGGCGACTGCAGATTTGCAGAAAGCTGTTGAGAAGGAATTTGAAATGGCTCTACAAGACCGGGTTATGGAAGAAACCAAAGACAAGAAGAATGCTGTGGAGGCGTACGTCTATGACATGCGCAACAAGGTAGACAATTAGGCTTAAACTAGTGAGGAAATGGTTTTTTGATGTATGATAAAGGGTTGTACAAGCCTAACCTTTTTCCCTTTCGTGCAGCTTCATGACAAGTATGAGGAATTTGTAACGGCTGGTGAAAAGGATGAGTTGATTGCAAAACTTCAGGAGGTTGAGGATTGGCTGTATGAAGATGGTGAGGATGAGACAAAGGGTGTCTATATTGCAAAGCTTGACGAGCTCAAAAAGGTACTTGATCCATTATCTTATTTCTCCCATGCAAGTCATCTACATGTCAGGGTATTTAAGAAAACTTGTCGAAAATGCAGCAAGGTGATCCTATTGAGGAGCGTTATAAGGAGTGGACGGAGAGAGAACCAGCTAGTAATCAACTTAACTACTGTATCAACAGTTATAGAGAGGCAGCACTATCTAAAGATGCGAAATTTGATCACATTGATTTGGCAGAAAAGCAGAAGGTAATATCTTTCACCCTATTTGATGTATGTTGCACTTTTATGCTGATCGGTTGTTTCTCAGTCTGCTTTTTAACTCGGCGTGGATTTTCTTACATGACCCCTATCAATTGCATTTACAAACCTACTCTTAGGAGTTCACGTGAGATATTTCAGTATGTATTAGAAATCCTGTTGTTCCAAATCTGTTAAGAAAATGAGCTGCCTACAACTGCAGCCGATAATCTGTTGATGCCATTTGCACATGAACTTTTCACTATGAGTTATCCTTATTGGATATGCTGTTTGTCTCCCTAACTTTGCCAATGTCTTGTGCTATTGTGTTTTTTTGTTGTAATTCCTCTTTGTTAAAATTTTGCCTTATGTTGGTGAATATTCCTCACTATTTGGTATGTGTTTTCTAGTTTTCGTATGTATGTATATGTGTATGTGTATATGTGTTGTATTTGTTTTGCTTGCTTCCGGAGCTTCTCACTTACTTTTCCAGTGGTCCCTGGAGTATTAACATGAAAGGATAAAACCACGTGATTTTTCATTTTGTAGCATTATTTTCCCTGCATTCCTCTTTGTCGTCATGTTTGCTTTTGGCCTTTGCTTGCTTTGCTTTCTTGTTTGTGGGATGGCATGGTTGGATGTTGTAACATTTAAGTTTCCTTCTCTGTTTTCGTCCATCACTTTTGGAATTTAATTTCTCATTCAACAGGTTGTCAATGAGTGTGGGGAAGCTGAAGCATGGCTAAGGGAGAAAAAGCAGCAGCAGGATGGCTTACCAAAACATGCCACTCCTGCTCTTTTTTCGGCTGATATCAAGAGAAAGGCTGAGGCACTGGACAGGTAAGCAAACTATTATTGATTATTTGAGCATTAGGACATAAGTGAAATTTCACTTTGTGGCTTGAAAATGTTTCCATCTGTCTTGTGCGGTTAAAGACAGGAGTTGTTATGAAGATATTGAGAATCTAATATTATGATTTTTACCTGGTCTACATGGATTTCATAATGTTTAAGCTCTGAAAGCGAAGATGTCAAGGCTATCTTACATTTGCTATTTCTCTTTCTTATCTTGCTGATTAAACGCTGCATGTTATAGAGTACATTTATTGTGATATGGAAAAAATAAATTAAAAAAATTCAGCACATCTACAGTAATAGGTTCAGCAACAAAAATACATGCACTGATTTTTTGTAAATGCAAACTTCATTCGAGTCATATCTGTCGGTGTGACAGCTTTTTATCAAGGTAGAATTCTGATACATAGCCTGCTTTGTCGAGCTGATTTTATATTGCGTAAAGTTATTATTTATTTGCATAATGGTACACCTCCATAGAAAAAGAATTCTGGATCACGAGTTGGATACTGTAAGCATCTAGGTTAAATTGTGGTTATTGATGCTTTTGTGTTCCACGGAAAAGTTTCCTTAGGAAAGGAAAAGTGAGAGTCTGGATTTCTGGTCAATTGGGCCATGTCAATTTCTGAATGTAATAAGGGCTGGTTATCCTCACAGGGCAAACTCTTAAATTCCTTTGATTTGCTCCCATTTGGGACACAAGTTAGAAAGAAACATTTGGACGGTGGAAGCCACTAACCTAACCGGTTAGGTGAAGTAATAAAATTTGTACTAGGGGGAAGTGTAGCAACATTTGGTCCTCGTTGAGTAAGAATGACATTAGTGCATTGAGAGACCTTAACAAAATTGAATCGAAGAATGAAATTCACGTAGTATCGTTTGGTTTCTTAATAGTAATTTTTGATTTTTGTGCTTTTGATAAATACAATACGCAGTATCGTTTGGTTTCTTAATAGTAATTTTTGATTTTTGGCTTTTGATAAATACAATATTGTATTAGTTGCTGCTATTACCTGTATGATTTGATTAGCTATGAAAATGCTATCGTTTTGGGATGAGCTGCATTGGATCAGTATGATATCATGCTTCTTTCACAAAATAAAATAAAATAAAATCTGGTATGTATGCTTCATGAATGATGCGTGCTGATGAGAATCTGAAATTGTGCTCTTTAACAGGTTCTGCAGGCCAATAATGACCAAGCCTAGACCTGCACCTGCCAAAAGCCTCAGACACCTCCGCCAACTGAGTCCCCTCCTCAACCACAACCGGCTGAGCAGCAATCTCAACAAGAGCAAGAAGGTGGAGAACAAATGGCTGAAGAAACTGCGCAAGGCACCCAGCCACCTGCCACTGAATCTATGGATACCGAAAAGCCCGAGGCAACCCCAACAGCTTGAAGCATGCTAAAAGCAGACCCTAAAATTATATATCATGGTGTTCTCTCTCTCTCTCTCTCTCTCTCACTCGGATATAGGTGATTTGTTGATGTGTCTGGCTTTATGGATTTCAATTGAGCTCGCAAACTTGTATTTGTTGTCTTTTCAAGAGATTTAAGTTTTATACTTGGAACAGTTTTCCCCAGGTTTTGAGGCATTATTATTGAGGTCAACAAGTCTTGGATTTTGCCCTTATTGGGGTTATTCTGTTGCTTGTCTTCTGCAATATCTGTCGGTTATTTAAATGTACGTGTTCTCCATTGCGTTTCCATTGTTCCTCATTGGGAGATACAAAACGATGAGGCGTGCCGTTCTATTAGAGAACTGTAGTTATGTGCCAGTTCTTAGGAGCGTGCCGTTCTATTAGAGAACTGTAGTTATGTGCCAGTTCTTAGGAGCTGTTATGCTTTTTCATTGGAGCTAGGGAAACATTAGATCCCGTTTGGCAAAGGGTTAATGAAGAAGGGTTAAAGAAAAAGATTAATGTACTTAGCCCATTTGATAATCTGAAGGACTAAATTATTAACCCGTTAAATAAGTTTTATTTTAGCCCTTATGATCAGTTTTAGTGTTTGGGAATAACAATGATTTTGACTATTTTCTTTATAATTAGAAGTGTTAACTCTTATTCCATCTAAATAGGAGTATTAGTAAACCCCTCATTTTGAGGGGTTAACTCATTTTAACCCCTCTAGAACGGTTAACTTAACCCTTCTATATTTTTTATGTTTGACAAATTATGAAGGGTTAACTCACTTTAACCCTTATATAGATTTGTTGTGTTTGGTAGGTTAAGAAGGGGTTAAGTCTCCTTAACCCCTCACTTAACCCTTTGTCAAACGGTACCTTAGAGAACTGTAGTTATGTGCCAGTTCTTAGGAGCGTGCCGTTCTATTTAGAGAACTGTAGTTATGTGCCAATTCTTAGGAGCTGTTATGCTTTTTCATTGGAGCTATGCGTTTGTTTCGGGATGTTAGGGGACGTATTTATCCTATATTAGGTATTTTCGTAGTGTGCGTGTATTTTTTGGGGGGATGTGTTGTTAGTCAGGGGATTGTTCTTCTAATAGCTAAAAGCTACAGCATCATTGTTTAGCTTCCTTGGAAAATATATTCACCGTAGATCAATGCAGTTTCAAACTGTGGACAGCTGCCGAAGAAAAATAATTTAAAATTACTATTTTCTGGGACAAACTTAGTCGACTACGGTCGCAACTTCGATGTATTTGCCTTGTACCCAGCGGACACCCTGACGAACAGCAGCAACTACTCGTTGATGATACAGTTTTCATGGAAACATGCACTTGGAGTAACGATGCAACTACTCGTTGATGATACAGTTTTCATGGAAACATGCACTTGGAGTAACGATGTCACGTTCTCTTTCACCTTATACTCTTTCCAAACAAACCACATCAATCTTCTGCAAATGCTGTATCGATGTATTTACCGGCTGTACCCAGCGGACACCCTGACGAACAGCAACAACCACTCGTTGATGATACAGTTTTCACGGAAACCTGCACTTGGAGTAACGATGTCACGTTCTCTTTCACCTTATACTCTTTCCAAACAAACCACATAAATCTTTTGCAAATGCTGTAATCGTTCAACGTCAACGACCACCAAATCGTTCCCTCGTGATTGAGATATCGGTGCGTCTTGAAACGAAGTATGAGGATGGGAAGAATAATGAAGAAGGCGAAAAGAGAGTAAGAGCCTCGATAAATATTTTGTTCGTGTTGTTGTATGAATATTGTTGCAGGTGGTAGGGTCATCGAAGGGGAAGGGAGATGTTGAAGATGAAGAAGAGAGAGAAGAGTCGAGGAAGGAAGAAAGACAAGAATAGCGGAGGGGTCACGCTGACTTAAATTTGGACGATTGTCAATAACACCCTATACCTTTCAAAACATCAAAAAAAACCCTCTTGAGTAGGGGGTATTAGCAAATCCCCCTCTAACACTAAGATATTATCAGAAAACTCCCTTTAACAGGTTAAATATCATAAAAGCACAATTTTCACATGGGTGGGTAAAATTATGCGGGAGATATACAGTTACTTTAACGCTATTAGGGGGTTCCTTCATTTTAAACCCTCAAAGTAACACTAGTTTAACGTGTCACGTATCAATCATGAACGAAAGCGTGATCTCAAAAAACCAATTTACTTTTTTTATTTATTTATCATTTCCATTAATTTGTTGAAGGTTGAAGGGGTATTCTTGCTCAAGTGCCTACCACACGACTCACAAGACTTGACGGTATTACCTGGAGGGTTAAGGCGAAATATTTTTCCCCAAGGGATTTCGTCGAATAAAAGAACTTCAAGCGGGTTATGTGCAAAGCCCCTCATAGTTCAGGGGTGATTCTGTGGAACTAAAGTAGTAAAGGGTCATCAGGCCTAAGGGAGGTTCCGTAAAAACTTACCCAAAACATCACACTACATAAAACTGCTCCTCTAGACGCATCGGACGCTCAATCGAACGCATCAGCCTCCTCTTCCTGGATCGCCCAGCCTTTTTAACTTTCTGACCTCACAAGGAAAAACAAAATATACAAACACAAGCTCAGGTCTCACAAAATTAAGAAAAGCAGACGTGTGGGCTTGGTTGTTTTTAACTTGTATCTAGTTTCGGTGTTAGTTTGGTGATGTAATTGCGAATCCGCTGATGCATCATTTTATCTTCCGATGCATTAGCCTTTCAAGAAACCCTTTGTGCATTCTTCAATGTTGACTAGTCTTTCAATATGCATGGTCAACACAATGCACTCCTCGTTTATGAGGTACGGAGAGAATCCCAAACATGATGCTTGCAAGAGGGATAAGTAAAAGGTTTTTTTTTTTTTTTAATTTTAATTTTGTGCAGGACAAGTGGAAGTGGAGGCTTGTAAAAATTGAAGAGGGGTTTCTATAAAGAAAGGTTAGCAAATTGGTGTCAGGTGAGGTGTCCCCTCCCTATTGCATAATGAGTTGGCATGACCAACTCATTATGCAATAGGGAGGGGACACCTGCTCAAGTGCCTACCACACGACTCACAAGACTTGACGGTATTACCTGGAGGGTTAAGGCGAAATATTTTTCCCCAAGGGATTTCGTCGAATAAAAGAACTTCAAGCGGGTTATGTGCAAAGCCCCTCATAGTTCAGGGGTGATTCTGTGGAACTAAAGTAGTAAAGGGTCATCAGGCCTAAGGGAGGTTCCGTAAAAACTTACCCAAAACATCACACTACATAAAACTGCTCCTCTAGACGCATCGGACGCTCAATCGAACGCATCAGCCTCCTCTTCCTGGATCGCCCAGCCTTTTTAACTTTCTGACCTCACAAGGAAAAACAAAATATACAAACACAAGCTCAGGTCTCACAAAATTAAGAAAAGCAGACGTGTGGGCTTGGTTGTTTTTAACTTGTATCTAGTTTCGGTGTTAGTTTGGTGATGTAATTGCGAATCCGCTGATGCATCATTTTATCTTCCGATGCATTAGCCTTTCAAGAAACCCTTTGTGCATTCTTCAATGTTGACTAGTCTTTCAATATGCATGGTCAACACAATGCACTCCTCGTTTATGAGGTACGGAGAGAATCCCAAACATGATGCTTGCAAGAGGGATAAGTAAAAGGTTTTTTTTTTTTTTTAATTTTAATTTTGTGCAGGACAAGTGGAAGTGGAGGCTTGTAAAAATTGAAGAGGGGTTTCTATAAAGAAAGGTTAGCAAATTGGTGTCAGGTGAGGTGTCCCCTCCCTATTGCATAATGAGTTGGCATGACCAACTCATTATGCAATAGGGAGGGGACACCTCACCTGTCCCCTCCCTTAGTCCCATATTTTGGGTCCCCGTAGCAGTACTCTTTTCCCCCACATTAGTTAGCATTAATGGGGGTTAACTTTGAAAATATGAATGATTTGTGGGTATATAAGGGCATCTCCAACAGCTTCTCTAAAATTTTCTTCAAAATGGGGAAGCCAAAGTCATATTCCCCAAATTATTTTTACACCAACTCCAACAGCTTCCCTATTTTGAAGAATCACATTTTTCCTCCAAAATTTTGGAGAATGCTGCAGATTTGGGGAAGCTTCCCCATTTTTTTTCCTCCATCCCTATTTTGGGGAATAAGATGGAGAATCTGTTGGACCAAAAACCTAACTATATTCTCCAAAAGTGAGAAATAAGGAAGCTGTTGGAGATGCTCTAAGCGAAAGATCCATTAAGTTAGAAGTTATAGGAATTATTGACGAGCAAATTGATATAAAATAGATATCAAATATTATAAGGGTCTGTTTGGGAACGTGGATTTAGACCCTTGATTTGAAACCAAGGGCACCTCAAATCCAAATCCCAAGTTTGGGCAGAATTTTGGGCACGGATTTTAAACCAGTTGATTTTGAACGGATTGATTTCAAAGCCCAATAATTGAGATTTCAAATCTTCGTATAACCCTTGTGATTTGGCAAATCAATTCCCTCAAATTACGATCATGATATTAGATTTCAAATCTTTGATTTTTTTACCAAAGCCCCTCAAATTATTGAAGTTGTCAATCAGTCCCCTCCATTTATAACAGTTTTTTGCAATTTGATCCCTATGTTAGTTTTTAAACTAAATTTGCAAATCATGATTAGGTTATTCCTTCTTTTTTTCCTTGCAGTATATTTTGTTTTCTTCATTTGTGCATTTCTAAATTGTAATTAGTATTTGCTCTTTAAGGTTAATTATATAGTTTGGAGGAGCCATTTACCAAGAAAACCCTCACATTATATAGGAACATCATGAAAAATAGACGTGAATTAAGATCTCAAGTCCTATCTGAAATTACCCTAGATGGGGGTGAATAGAGTAATGTGCTAATCTAATCAGATTTAATACTAATTTAAAAACTTATTAACAATTTATTCTTTCAAGTATGATATACAACTAATTATGAGCAAGAATATGCAATATAAACAAATGACGATATAAACATAAACTAAAATACAAATGAGATAGTGTGCAAATAATCAATACCAACACACAAAGATGATCACAGAGTTTGGTCCTTCTGACCTACGTCTCCGCTCCCCACTCCCGAGGATAATCCACTATCATAATGAGTTTTCAACGTTCACCCAAAACGTTTACACCTCACAATCTCGATTTTCTAGCTCATCGAAAACTTTAACAATTCACACTCTTGCAATCACACTCTACACCCTCTAAGTGTTACCCTAGTTCGTGTCGCCTTT